TTTCTTAACTGTTTACATTATATGGCTTGCAGGACACATGCTGGACAGAAAGTTACCTGGTTGCCATGGCCTGATCTAGTAAACTACAAACTTCCTGGCGCAGTATTTTCATTTCTAAAAATAATATTTTGATCCAGTATTAGTGGAATAAGTTTAGAATCTTTTGAGAACATTTATTTGTCTTTTTAACTTTTAATGTGTAACTTTCAATTTACTTCATATTGTTTTCTGATTAGCTACCTAGTTAGGTTGTTGACTGGTTAAATCAACGGGCAAGGAGAGTGTTGTATTTACCAGATATGGCAGTTATTGTAATTGCGTTAGCAGGCAATATCAAAATCTATATTTTAAACACAAACAGCATCATACCTGTGTATGGAATATTGGTTATCTATGTTTAGAAAGGCAGTACGAAGACCCCTTCCCTCCTTGATGTTGGTCTTTATATTGATCTCACTGTTTGTAATGGGCAGCCCAAGGTCATGTCAAGACATCTTACATGGAGATTGAGCCTCTTACATCAGTGTACATTAGTGTTGGCTGTTTTAGTGTGTTTACATTACTGCTTTGCAGCTGAGTCTCGGATGGCTCAAATTTACCTGTATTTCTGCCTTACACTTAAAGATTGCCTCGAACTTAATGATTGTGTCTACAGGGCTGAAAACATCTCAGGGGAAAGGGTTTTGTTTCCGCTGGAGAACAAAGGTTATATGTTTGGTGTGTTTGGATGACTTCAGTTTTTACTATGACTTAAAGCAATACTGTTATGTAATTTCACTGAATTCATGATCCTATCAAGATTGTTAGCATGTCAGACACAGGACTGATGCAAATATTTGAACATGAGCAAATCTTTCACCGAGTTGAGTTTCATAGGCATTCTCCTTCTGATTGGCTTTTGTCCCACCTCCTCCTCTTAATCGGCCCTTGCCCTACCTCCAGCTTCTTATCTGTCAAGTGTCCTTGCCCTACCTCCAGCTTCTAATCCGTCCTTGCCCTACCTCCAGCTTCATATCTGTCAAGTGTCCTTGCCCTACCTCTAGCTTCTTATCTGTCCTTGCCCTACCTCCAGCTTCTTATCTGTCAAGTGCCCTTGCCCTACCTCCAGCTTCTTATCCGTCCTTGCCCTACCTCCAGCTTCTTATCTGTCAAGTGTCCTTGCCCTACCTCCAGCTTCTTATCCGTCCTTGCCCTACCTCCAGCTTCTTATCTGTCAAGTGTCCTTGCCCTACCTCCAGCTTCTTATCCGTCCTTGCCCTACCTCCAGCTTCTTATCCGTCCTTGCCCTACCTCCAGCTTCTTATCCGTCCTTGCCCTACCTCCAGCTTCTTATCTGTCAAGTGTCCTTGCCCTACCTCCAGCTTCTTATCCGTCCTTGCCCTACCTCCAGCTTCTTATCCGTCCTTGCCCTACCTCCAGCTTCTTATCCGTCCTTGCCTTACCTCCAGCTTCATATCTGTCAAGTGTCCTTGCCCTACCTCCAGCTTCTTATCCGTCCTTGCCCTACCTCCAGCTTCTTATCTGTCAAGTGTCCTTGCCCTACCTCCAGCTTCTTATCCGTCCTTGCCCTACCTCCAGCTTCTTATCTGTCAAGTGTCCTTGCCCTACCTCCAGCTTCTTATCCGTCCTTGCCCTACCTCCAGCTTCTTATCTGTCAAGTGCCCTTGCCCTACCTCCAGCTTCTTATCCGTCCTTGCCCTACCTCCAGCTTCTTATCTGTCAAGTGTCCTTGCCCTACCTCCAGCTTCTTATCCGTCCTTGCCCTACCTCCAGCTTCTTATCTGTCAAGTGTCCTTGCTCCTACCTCCAGCTTCTTATCCAGCTCCTTGCCCTACCTCCAGCTTCTTATCCGTCCTTGCCCTACCTCCAGCTTCTTATCCGTCCTTGCCCTACCTCCAGCTTCTTATCTGTCTCTGTCTCTTTATCCGTCCTACCTCCAGCTTCTTATCCGTCCTTGCCCTACCTCCAGCTTCTTATCCGTCCCTGCCCTACCTCCAGCTTCTTATCCGTCCTTGCCTTACCTCCAGCTTCTCTGTCAAGTGTCCTTGCCCTACCTCCAGCTTCTTATCCGTCCTTGCCCTACCTCCAGCTTCTTATCTGTCAAGTGTCCTTGCCCTACCTCCAGCTTCTTATCCGTCCTTGCCCTACCTCCAGCTTCTTATCTGTCAAGTGTCCTTGCCCTACCTCCAGCTTCTATCCGTCCCTGCCCTACCTCCAGCTCCTGTCAAGTGTCCTTGCCCTACCTCCAGCTTCTTATCCGTCCTTGCCCTTCCAGCCCTACCTTGCCCTACCTCCAGCTTCTTATCCGTCCTTGCCCTACCTCCAGCTTCTTATCTGCCAAGTGTCCTTGCCCTACCTCCAGCTTCTTATCCGTCCTTGCCCTACCTCCAGCTTCTTATCTGTCAAGTGTCCTTGCCCTCCTTGCCCTACCTCCAGCTTCTTATCCAAGTCCTTGCCCTACCCAGCTTCTTATCTGTCAAGTGTCCCTTGCCCAGCTTCTTATCCGTCCTTGCTTCCAGCTTACCTGTCAAGTGTCCTTGCCCTACCTCCAGCTTCTTATCCGTCCTTGCCCTACCTCCAGCTTCTTATCTGTCAAGTGTCCTTGCCCTACCTCCAGCTTCTTATCCGTCCTTGCCTACCAGCTTCTTACCTGTCAGTGCCCTTGCCCTACCTCCAGCTTCTTAGCTTCTTCTTGTCCGTGTCCTTGCCCTACCTCCAGCTTCTTATCCGTCCTTGCCCTACCTCCAGCTTCTTATCCGTCCTTGCACTACATCCAGCTTCTTATCCATCCTTTTCCTACCTCAAGCTTCTTATTGGCCCTACCTCCTGTTCACTACCAGTGCTTTTGAATATGGTTTTATGGCTGTGTCATAGAAGTGTTACAAACTAGGAAGGTGATTGAATGGAGAGTTATGGTTTAAAATGTTAGCCCCCTTAATCTCATCTGTAAATACAGCTATCATATAATATGCAGGGGAGGCAACTCTACTCAGGGAGTATAAACAGTATGTCATGGCAAGCAGGGTTGTGCCATTAATTATGAAGACCTTGGGTAATCAAGTACTTATCATAATATATCAGTTAATGGTTAACACCCTTCCAGCTCTTTATAATCATTTCTGAGATAGGCTGTCTTAATTGCTCTGACATACACTGAATATGTGGAGCCAGACAGGTCTAATACTGTAGGCTCTTGAGAAGGGTCTGTTGGAACTTATCTGGTTTGACAGTTTAACTATAAAAGTGTTCAGCTTCTTTGGATCAGTAAAGATCAGTGTTAGGAACATGATTGAAGACGCCAAAGAAGCTGCTTGTAGAAGAAATATGATAATGGCTTGGGAGAAAATTACAAAGAGTAGTTTAACTATTTCTTCTCCATCAAAAAGAAAAGAAAAAGAGTTTATTATCCACCACCACAAAGTCCGTCTGATCCCAGTCCATCCATCTATCACTGTCTAGATGGGGGCAATTTTCTCAAATTCCATTTGTATTGGAGAATTGAAATTTTACTCACTTTTGTAACTGGTCACAGTCCAAGATGAGTTTTAATATCGGTGTCTGAATTAATCTTTTACTGGGTTATGGCCCTTGCTCCATGGTTTTCATTTTTTGCATGTTGTGTGAAATGATGACAGGTTTTCTCAAAAACTATTTACGTTAGAGAAGTCATTTTTTACACACTGATGTTACTCGTCTGATACAAAATATGTTCGAAAGTTGGTATCGTAAAACGGTTTTGCACAGAGTTACGGCCCTTGCTCCTGCTTTTCAATCTAGTGTAAGTGCATGAACTGGGGACATGTTCTCCTGAGGCTGCATGAATGACAGTTTGCTTGCTTATCAAATTCATTTTTCACATTTACTTCCCTTGCTACTTGTTTTTTCTTTTATGCAAATAAAAGTAGTGTGTGAGTGAGGACAAGTTTTATCAGAAACCACTGAAGTAACATGATGTTATTTAAGTCAGTTAAAAAATTGGTGCCATAATTTTTTTTTTTTCTAGAAACGGGGCCTTTTGTGTATTTATTTTAAAAAATAATTTCATGACATAAAGTAACTCTTGTGCCAGTGACCCTGTCTCTTTTCATTTTTTTAACGTTAACATTTACATCCATATTATTCATTACTATATGACCAATATACTAATGTGCCCCTTGGCAGCTGAAAGTGATACGGCTGTATTTGTGTGAACCATGACGTTGCTAGTATATCCTTTGAAGTATGCCATAATGGTTTAAACATGTTCCGAATCAATTTGAGAGAGACACAAAGATAGGTATCAAAATATCTGCAATCTGTGCAAGTGATGGTTTCAGAGAAGATTCTCATGTAATCTAACTGAGTTTTTTCTCTTTAAAACATTTAGAATTAGCTCCCTGCAGAGAATTGTTTGTACACATGATATGTTGTGCCTCTTGAACTTGTCTACCACGGCTAAGCTAACAGAGAAAATATCTTTAATGGTGATACAGGTCTGACATCAAATGTAAACTGGCGGAATGTTAATTCTGTGAAGAACTTGCTCGAAGGATGTGGAAGATGGCTCACGTTTGTTATCCCCTTCCTAATTAGATATCTTCTGATGGAGCCTGTTCCGTGAATGATATCAAACCTTTCAAGGCAAGGATCAATACCTCTGAAGAATCAAGTCATCTTGACAGTGAAAAAATATTTCCAAAGTGTAAGGGCTTCCCTCTCACTTAAAACAGTGGCCATTACAATCAGCTGATTTATATTATGAAACTGCGCTAGGCATGGATATGCATGAGCTGGGCAATTGGCAAGATCACTCTCATCTAATGAAGGACTTCTCTTGCCAATTCCAAGTTTGTGAAATCAGATCGCATGGCTGTATTTCTATGGATTGAAAGAGCCTGGTCAATAAGCCGTTTCTGCATGGTCACATTACCCTGTTCGTGTTGGACAAACACATGGTTTGATGGTGAACTCTTGTATTTATCTCTCATTGTATCGAGACAGGGTGGTTATTAGGCGGTATCCAGTTTGGGCTGTACATGCTGTATGGTGTAACGACAGCAAGAATTAGCCAATTATCAACTGCTCTACCGTCAGCAAAGGTTGCGTACCAGATCAATTTGTAGCGTGTTTTACTGGCCGATCACTCTGGTGAGTATCTGCAATGCTGTTCCTACATTAGGGGCTGTGGAGATCGTTTTGCTCCACGTAGTGTCTCCTTTCACTGACACTTCTAGCATTTTGTTCATTACTTGCCATGTTGTGGAGTTGATGTATTTGTTTCTTGGTGAAAGTTTAATGTGTACTCACAAGTGTGACAGTGTGAAGACAATACAAATTAATCTTGTTTAAACGTCTGTAGTTCTGTATTACACCATGACTCCTTGCTGATCCTGTGTCCACTGTCTAAACGTCACTCAGGACCAAGTCGCAATGTATTTGTTCCATGTGTTCAAAATAGCTGTACACTGTATCAAAATTACTGTTTTCTTTGAGGGGAAGATTTTATCATCTCTGGTATTTCATGACCATCAGCTCTTTCCCTAAAGTTGGAGGAGTAATAATTTATATTTATTTTCAAGTCTTGTCCAGATAGGTTTTTGGAAGTCTAACTTTAAATCGAGTGATTGGCATGACTGAGTTTGTAAGTTTACATAAACTCCACTTTGAACAGTATTTCTGTCTCTCGACATCAATGTACGCTCATTCACATGTTCATACTGCATTTGAGTTGGCTTTTGGGGTGGTGTTGTAGCCTAGTGGTTAAAGCATTCAGTCAGCATGCTGAAGACTTGGGTTCGATTCCCCACATGGGTATAAAGTATGAAGCCCATTTCTGGTGTCCCTTGCCGTGATATTGCTGGAATATTGCTAAACGCGGCATAAAACTTAACCCACTCACTCACTGACTGTTTATCTTAAAATGCAGCTGGTAATCGTGATGATGAGATCCTGTAGATAATTAGTAGGCGAGGGTATACTTATTATTGTTTGTGGATGATGAAGATGATAAATGGAATAAGTATGTTGGTAGTTCACACTAACATTTGCTCAGACACAGTACACTGGAACTAGATTCTGTAATAACCTAGAATAGCCCAACATCAGCAGATCAGTGTTTGTGCAGATGGTCCATTAAACACACTGTGGGAGAGCTATGTTGATGTAAGGAGACTTTACAACCTTGATCACTGTACATGAGACTAGACAGTCCACCAGAGAGAATGAAGAGAGCCTACCTAATGTCTGACCACATGGTGCTTGAAGATGCTGCCAAATAAACACAGCAGTGCTTACAGTTTTCATTGCTGACATGATCATACTGTAGAAGGGGTTTGATCCCCTACATGGCTATATCCAATAGATAAGCCAAGTCAATTCTTGAGGCATCACAACTAAAGGTGAATTCTAATGATGCTGATGCTGACATGGAATTACATAACTATTCCAGTGTTCTGTGACTTTAGCTGTTAGTCCAAAGCTAAGGATAGTAAAATTCTCTTTGGTCCAGTATGTTCTACTGACGATCGTGCTGAGAGCTGTCCCCTCTGTGGTTATTTTATTAGTGAGCAGTAATTCAGTTAACCATTAGGTCTGGGATGTGTGAAACAAAATCATCTCAGGTTGTCCACATTATGAATTCCTTATCTACCTTATCCTATTTCCATCATCTAAGTCTAACAATGTTTATCATGTTATCCATTACCCCAGTTATTATAAACTGATAAAGATGCCAGATGTTAACTGCATTATTATTTAAAAGAAGTCTGTAATGCAATAACAGGTGAATGGCGCCTTCTGATTGGTCTGTTTATTACTGATGTGAAGATCCACCAATATGATTGGTCACTGCATGATCCAATCTCATAAGTTCCCTCCTTTCAAAATGCTTCTTTTAGACATTCAGAAGGTTGGTTATTGGCTTGGGCATGCACCTATTTTGAGGCCTCAAATAAAACATCTTGAAGTCACTGATATATTTGGAGATGTATTGAATACTCCCAGTCAGTGTTAACAGATCTTGTATAACATTAGGAATGGTAGAAATATTTTCTCCATAGTTTGGCAGAACAATGATCAGTACAAATAGAATGGCAAATATGGATGTGACATTTTATTTCAAATGGGATTCTTTGAGTGTGAATACTCTATCAGTCTATTTCTGCTCCACGATTTCACAATAATGTTGTCTCATCTCGCGATAACATATTGATCAGAGAAATGGACAATAGTTGTGGGAATGTGATGATAGTGTTACAGTGTCTTGTTTTTCTAGTATTTCAATAATTCAGGACCAAACAAATTGCGATTATTTAGTCCAATTGCATTAAGAGGATACTGAATTACCAATGTCAGAAAAATATGTCAGTTGTTGAGTTCAGATGTTTGGGGCTGATGCTTAAGTAATTAGAGCAACTTCAGTCCGATGTCCACATGGTGGTTGTGCTGGTGTGGTGCTGGTGGTGTATCTAATGATGTCACGGTGGCAGGGCTGGACGACGACTTCCTGACTGTTTCCAGTTCTAAAGGTTTCTTTGATTTGTACAGCTGTGAATATTTATCACCTCTGATTAACACAGTGGTTGGTTTCCTATGTGTGAGAGCCAGCATATAGCCACTCACATGAGCAGGAGGAGCTGATGATGTTATGACAGTCCTTCTGTGGGCAGAATGGTGAGTCCGATCAATAGTGTACTTGTAAGTCTGTAGTTATGTCATAGAGACAAGTAGTATGTCGGACCTCAGCTGGCGTACTTTCTCTGTGTTGGAGAAACATTGATGAAGCTGACTGCAGAAAGCCATTTATGTGAGGGTTTAGTTGATGCTTGCGAAAAGGTGGTGAATCGATGTTCACAGATTCAGTGTGATTGTCTTTTGTCATTGATTGTCATTTTGTAGCTTAAACATGACATTTGTATAATTTGTGAAGCTCTTTTGTGGTGTCTCCTGCTGTGATATTGAAAGAATGATGTTGAAAGAGTTGTCAAACAGTAATCACTCTCTTAAATGACACAACAGTTACACAATAATCATTTGTAAATGTCAACATCATAGCAAGTGTCTGTGTTCATTTAATTATGTAAGGTGCCACACTCGAGACTGAGAGAGGCTCCAGCTGGATCTATAGACATTTTGTGCACATTTTGATGCTTATCCCCACGAGCACCAAGTTGACAATGTATTGATGTCTGGTGGGGGATGTACGCTGTTCAGTGTTTCATATTGACAGCAATGACTTACCAGGGGTAACACTGAAAGGTGTGTGAAACTCACAAAAAAATGGTGGTAGAAAGGTGTTGCATGGGTATATCAGTTTTGTGCTGCTGAGGCTAATTTCAGGGAGACTTGGTCCTTAGATTGCTGTTTTCATCTTTGTTGACATAGTTACCTCAGGCATTTTCCTATATACACTAATTCACCCTATTAGCTAGGAACAGTGTATTTTCTCAATTTGATCAGTTGTTGTGTAAACTCCATTGCATGTGCTACAGGAGTTATAGTATACAATATTGTTTGATTTTGCTTTGGGTATATTGCCCCTCCAACAACCATTATAATATCCACACTTAGTTAAAGATGAGGGTCATTTCACAAGTGATTATTTCATGGGATATCAAAAGTATTGTCATCAGCATTCGAAATTAAGGGGTTTCCTTGGGGTATGCTGCTGTAGAGTTTGACCACATCAGTCTTAAATATTCAACATTGGGACTTTCATGGAGTTTGAAGCTCTGCAGGATGCTACTCTACATACAACTAACTGTACATGACGTTATGTTCTCAGTGCTGAATCGGATGTGTGAATCAGTCTAACATAAGATCTCTTGAGATGCTTTGTCTGGAGAAAACCATGAATAAGGTTCTCTGAGAAAAACTGATTCCTCTGATGCTTGTATACAAAAATCAGGCACAAGGTGGAACTTATAAATGAGATAATTACACCGTTTGTTTGTTTGACCTAGTTCTGTCAAACTTCAGACCAAGCAGCACACACTGATCTTTGTGTTCAAGCAACTATGTTATATTATGGCGAAATAACACCCAGGGGAATGTTTTATCCTTTATCTTCCTCTACTAATGGGAATCCCATTCTAATTATATTGCATGTAAATGTTGAGGACTGTGTCTGGAACTAGGAGCAGTGATAATCCCAAGTCCCTTCTTGGGTCACGTGACTCGTGAAGATCAAGGTGAGAATTGGTCTTCAGTAACCCATGCTTGTTGTAAGAGGCGCCTAACGGGATCGGGTTGACAGGCTCGCTTACTTGTTTAACACATGTCATCGGTTACCATTTGTATAGATCAATCCTCACAATCACTGCATTGTCTGGTCCAGAATCAATTATTTACAAACTGCCGCCATATAGCTGGAATGTTGCTGAGTGCGGCATCTAACAACAAACAAACCAACCTGAGTCACCTATAACCAACCTGAGTCACCTATTACCAACCTGAACACACCTGAGTCACCTATAACCAACCTGAGTCACCTGTAACCAACCTGAATCGCCTACAACCAACCTGAGTCACCTATAACCAACCTGAGTCACCTATAACCAACCTGAATCACCTACAACCAACCTGAGTCACCTATAAGCAACCTGAGTCACCTATAACCAACCTGAGTCACCTATAACCAACCTGAATCGCCTACAACCAACCTGAGTCACCTATAACCAACCTGAGTCACCTATAACCAACCTGAATCGCCTACAACCAACCTGAGTCACCTATAACCAACCTGAGTCACCTATAACCAACCTGAATCACCTACAACCAACCTGAGTCACCTACAACCAACCTGAGTCACCTACAACCAACCTGAGTCACCTATAAGCAACCTGAGTCACCTACAACCAACCTGAGTCACCTATAAGCAACCTTAATCACCTATAACCAACCTGAGTCACCTATAAGCAACCTGAGTCACCTATAAGCAACCTGAATCACCTATAACCAACCTGAGTCACCTATAACCAACCTGAGTGACCTATAAGCAACCTGAATCACCTATAACCAACCTGAATCACCTATAACCAACCTGAGTGACCTATAACCAACCTGAATCACCTATAACCAACCTGAGTCACCTACACTTCCCAGAGTTTTCCCGAGTTATGGACCCTCTCCATGGTCCAGAGGATAGGAGGTCTGTCCAGAGAGAGGAAGGTTGGTGGCTTGACCCCCCTGGTTGTGCGTCATACAGACAAGATTTAAATATGCTACTTCTTGTTACCCAGCC